GACAGCGACTTCTTGCCAATAGTTATGAACAATGTGTTGACAGTTGTGATATTCATGAGCCAAATCGCAAGATGTCTATAGAGTTTAAACCTCCATCAGAAGGAGCCATTGCTGTTTCACCGTGTTTTTTTTTTTTTACAAGTGGAACTGTTGGCATTGTTACAAATTTTCCTAGATGTGATAAACATGTGCATTTTCATCCCCCATGCAGGCATTTTAGTTATGGCTGCTGGGGGTATGGCCTAATTGTAAGTTTATCTTTGTTTGATAGACAATGACAGAGTGGCATCATTTCTATTTCTTTCCTTTCTTGATGCATGTACCAAGTAAAATTAAAACATTTCATTATAACCTCATAAAACTTTAAAACTCTAACTCTAACTTTTCTTTCACACTAAAACTGCCGCTTCACATTAATGGAAATATGAATCCTTTTGTGGAAAAAGTATTTGAAACAACAGGAGTTTCAGTGTGAACTAAACAGCCGTAGAATAATAGGAAACCATGAGTTCTTACTTCAAAATAGCGTCTCTTTTTGGAAAGAGGTCTTGCAGCCACAAAACAGCCAACTTCATCTGAATCCCCCTGATACCTAAAGATCCAACAGAACGCAGACACGGTTATGATTTAAGCCAAACCCATACAGATTGCTCACTTTCAAGCTTTGCTCCTCAGCATTACCTGAGTATTTCACCATCTCTTAACATGTTCCTCCACCGATCCCGATAACGCACGGCTCGAACTTCACGAATTTCTCGAATTCGTCTCCTCCAGTTCAAAAAGCGATAATGAAGGTTTATGTCGTCCATGTCTGAAAATCATCCCCAGCCTGAAAACGGAAAAAAAAAGACACAGGACACAATCTGGTAAGGTTCAAAAAAGACATACGGATGAGGATGGTGATACAATAAGGTTTTGTTTTGTTTAACATTTCATTTAATTTACATTAAGTGCAATGTTCAGAACTGATTACTTCATGTATCCTACTTTATAATGCAAGGGAGATTTTTCCACATGAGACCACACTCCTTCCTAAAAGGCAGCTAAGGATTTTGACCACAACATGAACACCACTGTTGCTTGACAACAGCGAGGTTATGGATTTCACGCTAAGGCCAAACCCTTCCCTTTGGAGCCTGAGTTTTTCCATTCACATTTAATCCCATTTTCCACAGACATGTGCAAGCCTGGACATAGACCTGACTGCCGATGGGCAGAAACACGAGAGTTGAACCGTTTTAACCCTAAGATTGGCACATTTTTTCCCTCCGCTGCCCTGCATCCTAAGTAAGACACCCATTAAAAAATAATTTGTTGTTCTATAATAAAGGAGTCTCCTGAATAATGTAGTATTAAAAAAAAATCTATGATCATTGTATTTTATCTGAGTGTAAAGCATTCAACCAAGTGCAAGTTAGATTTATACATCTATAATTACACAGCTGTCGGTATAAACTCAGCTTTTCAATATTCCCGTTTGCAGGTTTGTAAATCCCTACAGAGCATCTATAGCAGCATCCCCAGACTAGGGATGCACTGATCTGATACCTGGATATCGGATAAATTCACCCTTTCAGTCCATGTATTTCTTCTTTTATTTATATTACCTCTTCAAATATTTTTTAAGTATAGTTTACATGGAAGTATTATTTATTTCTGCTGCTAATGTACACTTTAGTTGTTAAATAAAGAATATTAAGTGTATTTATATTTGCATCAACTTACTATCGTTTGTTAATGTTTGTGTCGAACCTGAAGACTTTACTCACACTCCTAGGTATACGGCTCATTCATCCAGAGTAGTATTGGATCTTTAAAGAGTATATGCTAACACAGTAAGCCCAGGTATCGGATTGGATTGGAAAAACCTAGATTGGTGCATCAGATGTCAGCTTTATCAACCAGACAGTCTGTATAGGGAGGGGAAAAAATGTTATAGTCAATAAATATTTACCAACATTTTGGTAAATCCAATTAACAGCTTTTGAAAACCCTGAAAAAAGTATTTTTTTTAAATAATTTCTTCCTTTTTTATCCCTGTTGGCTCCATAAGAGCATTGATAAATACAAAAATAAATAGATAACATTTGATTTAATGAAGGTACAACTTTCAGTTTAGAGATAAAGTTAACATTATGGGTTCCTAAAGAAGCTTATTTAAGCAAACATCACAGTTTATTAAAATATTTGCTGTCTTAATTGCAGAATTTCAAAATTATTAATAGAAACAGAATGGTAAAATGAAATAAAATTTCTAGAGTCATTAAATTGAGATTTTAAGCCATCAAACTGACATTTATTCTGAACACTTTTTATCAAAACAAATTTGCGAGGACTAAATATAAGTAATCATATCTATTGTGATTTTGGGTCAAAGTTTTTCACAGGTTTGAATTCAGAACTGAGAGACACATCTGAACTTTTGAAATAATAAAGCCATCTTAATTTCTGCCCTGCATGCAGTGTTTTACAAAACTTTTGATGGCCCCCCCTGCCCAGCTATTTGTAGGGGATAACAAGACCATTACTGCACATCACTATGAAGCATGGAGGAGGCAGCATCATGTTCTGGGAAAGCTTTTCCCAAAGGGTGAGGAAACCTGGTTGATGTTGAATGGAAATTGGAGGAACATATAGGGCAAACTTAGAAGAAAACTTATAAATCATAGGTTTAAAAACCTCTGAGCAAGGAAAAGACTCCAGCTGCAGCAGGATGTGTGATGTGTGCTATACGCACCAATTAAAGTATAGAACTAAATCCAATACATTACCAAAATGAGCTATTAGAAAAGAGGAAAATGTCTTATTTTCAGATTTTCTCCCTCCTTTTTGATTACGTAGGATCATAAATACAGCAAAATGTTGCTTTAGAGTTATTTTTAAACAGGTCTGTAAACAAAAAATCCCTGCATTACTTTGTTTCACCTCACAATTGGTGCCTTGTTTCTATTCCATAAAACTGAAGTTTCATGGCTGTGAGATGATAAAAATTTTTTTCAAAGATTAATGAGATGTAAAGTTACTGCAGTGATCCCTTAATACAATAGATTATTTGTAAATAAATGTAAAAAATAGATGTTTATAACTTAACTCTTTTGGAAATGTGGCTGACATACATGATCGTCCGGTGTCCTCAAATTAATTTGAATTATCGACCTTGCTAATTTATATTTTAAGTCTTTCGGCACCAAGTGATTCAACAGTAATTACCTGCCCGCTAATGTAATCTTATTTACCTAAAAAAGCTAATAAAATGGTATGTTGCTAACCAAGAGAAACGATGGATTACAGAACAACGATGGGTCATTTGTCATTAAACTGACGATTAGAGCAAGTTAAAAGTGACTAGATATCACGATTTAATAATATATCCGGGGTGTTTTTTTTATTTATTTAAATGTCTCAAGCACTACTTTTTCGGATAGAATTTAAACACGTCCTACAAACCATTAATTACGAGCCGCCCATGAACGCAGCCTCGTAAAGTACACGCAGGACTGTTGGCCGGCTAGCTGCCTTCAGCGTTCCAACATTAACACGCCGTGCGGCTAATTCTGAAGCGAAAACTACAAATTACCCCACGTCAGACCGACACCGTTAAACGGTTTTAAGTCTTACGGTGGTTCCTTACTGTTTTATAACTTGTAACACGTCGTCCTTCAGGTTTTTCTTCCTAATTTCAGGAGGTGAAGTCTGTCACTTTATGTCCAACCTGTTCTCTACCGGAAGTCCCGCCCACCTCACCAATCAAATGACAGGAAATCTTAACCCACGCGCAGCCATTGGGGTTTTATACGTTCATGTTTGTATTTTTTTTTTATTTAATATTTTCTCAGAATATTTTTTTTATTTTATTCTGCCTGATTGTGTTTCCTTTTAATGTAAAGTTTTTAATGTGTAGAAAAATTTTTATGGCTCTCTACCTTTAGGAAGATAACAATCACATTTGCAAAGTCAGAGTTGTCACAGTCTGTATGAACAAGCATTACTGTAGTTCTGTGACTCAGGCAGTGGAATTTACAGACTGGGGCTTTCTGTGCTTGGCTGATAATGTCTTAGTCACATGGTGTTTAGTGACACACTGTATAAGTAATTTCCTCAAAAAGTCCTAACAAATTTCGAATTTCCCCACACATTTTAAACTGTAGTAAATTGTATCTGAATGACAAAAATGATTGTTACTTTTATTAATGGAATTTTAACTCAGCTGATAAATATGAAAGTCTTACGCCACTACAATCTGAAGCCATTTATTCTATTGCTGTGTGATATATTAACCATTGGTGGCACCTGGGCTATAATATCTGCTATTCTCAGGATTTATTTTTATAAACTATCTATGAGGAAAATATAAAACAATAAACCAGTAGAAACTCCCATTTTGTATCCATGTTTTACTTCAACCTTTAACAATGAAAGTGTACAATACAAATTTCACAAGGTTTCCTACATTTTTATGGATGGTGGAATATTTTAAAGAAACTGCCTAAAGGTAAATAATTAGTTTATTGACAAACTTATGGATGTTTTACACATTTTAGGTTGATGAAAAATTTTTAGGTTTCCATCCCTAAATTTTGACTTCAGGATGCTTTTTTGTTTATTTTCCCTTATTCATAGCTTAAAATGCACACTTTTGATTAAAACTGGAATACATAACTGCATAAGTGCAGCCGATCATACAGTTCCAGTTTGTGTAAAATGTTATTTTTCATTCGCTTTTTATCCTGATTGAAGAAAACAGCAAACTATACTTGTTTTTAAAGTCTGATAACCAAACACTAATTCATTTATTAAATGGGTAGACCGGGTTCTGGCTCTCTGAACTGGTCTATCATATTTAACCATCTTCTCCATAGATAAATTAGTCCCCAGATAACTCAGAACAATGGAGCAGCAAACACTGCCATTACCTCTGATTTATGTCAGTGATGAAAACACCACAGATATGCATGATGACGGACAACAAATGGGTTGAATGTGTGCGAGTCTTCGTGTGTGTGTCATGTCAATCTAGGGGTGTGCTTAACTGGGTGGAAATGAGAGGGAAAGCTAACATTCTTCATCATGTACCCTCCCATATACCTTTCCTCTGTGCTTGAGGCTCTTAAAAAAGGTGCTGCCAGTAGCATCTGACTGCCTTATCATTACTGTCTTGGAAGGACGAAATCATCCCCACCTATCTTAGATAGATAGATTGCCGTCTGAGGAGTTCTTTTCGGAGACAAAAGAAACCTTCTAGAAAACATTTCAATTAACCTCTATTAAGAATTTGGATGACAGCTTCATGGGAATCCTTGAAATCAAGATGTTCCTGTATGTAAACCTTTTGATGCTGCTCTTCCAGGAGGTTGCTTTATCAAGCATCCTGACCACCCCATCCAGAGGATGTCCCACCTGCACAGGAAAGCCTGCTGATGTGAAAGCGGCCACTTTGGCTCCTGGAGAGCCATGTGGCATCTACACTTTGAGCTGTGCTCCTGGTCTGCGCTGCAAAGCTTCAAAGGAGGAGCTGAGGCCCCTACGTGCCCTGCTGGAGGGCAGAGGAGTCTGCAGAAATATTAGCAGCAATATCAGGAGCACCACTGCGGCTGCACAGGGTAAGATATATGAAACTGATCTATGAATGATTTTCCCCGCTTAATCTGTTAACTGGGCAGGTGAAATGGAAAGCTGAGGGAAATGCACTGGCTGATAATCATAATCTGCAGCGGTCACTGTTTAGAATTATGTATATCATTGTATGTTAAATGGTATTTTACTAGAGTCCAACATTTCTGCCACATCAGCAGTAGTGAAATTATTGACACAAAGTGTATCATGGCAATTGAGGGCGAATTGAACTTTTAATCACTTTCTAAATGATGCATCATTTATCTAGCTAATTTCTATTTGTCTGCTGAAAGGTAAACAGGGTGCAAAAGCTTCCACAATGTCTTTCTATGAAAATATGTTTTAAAAATCTGTCAAACCTACATTATAAGTAAATGTTGTCTTTTGTATTTTCCATTGCTGTTCTCAGAATTGGCACCAACTGAGGACCCCATTGAGGTAAGAATGATCTAAATCTGTTTCAGCAGGCTGTATTATATGAATCCTATGCTGCTAACATTGCTTTCTACATGTATCTTTCTCATCCTGCAGGCTCCTTGTCGTAAACTGCTAACGGAAGTCATCAAAAGTCTTGATAGCCATTTAATTAAGTCCCCTCATGATATCTACATACCTAACTGTGAAAAAAATGGTTTTTACAAAAAGAAGCAGGTAGGTTTACAAAAAAACACAATCTGCGAGAAATCCAAGATTCCTTTCACATATTTAGACTAACTATAATTATACTATTATATACTATTATTTCATGATCTTTCTCTTCTTCCAGTTGTTCATATATCTTAAATTAAATAGAAATCTTTTTTGTCAAAATTTTTTACTTCATTGGAAAAACAGATCTTACCATAGGGTCTATGCCACCTAGAAATTCAATATTTTTTATCTTTAGTTTTCTTTTAAAATGATCTTAACCACCAAAACAGCCATTTACTCTGTTTATCATATAGAAAAATTAGGATCTGATAACATGGAACATAATTATGGAAGAATGCTCACTCTAAAGCTGCAAATTTTAAATAATATTCATAACCCTAACCCCTAAATGTCTAATTTTTATTACTATTGCTTGTAGAACCTTGATCTCTAAACAATACCTGGGCTTTCTTTAAAAACCTCCTGAACCGAGGAAAATAAATGCTCAAAATATTTTCTCTCTAAAATTTCAAAACACAGATTAAGTGTGCCATGTATTTTCACAAAACCCAGTCTTTTTAGCTATGATCACTGCATGAAAACAAAGGCTGGGTTTATTTTGCATCAGTCGTGATGCAAACCCCCCCCCAACCCCCCCCCCCCCCCAAACCCCCCCCCCCCCACCCCCCACCCCCCCACCCCCACCCCCAAACACTCACTGTTAGATTTTTTAGAATATTTTTTTTTTTTACTGACAAATATGTCTTGTAGGGAGCTTTAAATTGTATAAATTGAGTCCTTTATTAAGGAGATTTTGATTTATCTTCTTATTTGTGTTGGTTTACTCCTTGTGTCCAGTGCTGGTCGTCTCAGAGCAGGCAGCGTGGAAAGTGTTGGTGTGTGGATCAGAATGGCCTCCCTGTCCCTAAGAAGACCAAATCACAAGGAAGCATTATTTGCTAAGGAGCTTTAAAGAAGACAGATGAAGGAACTTTTTTCCCAAATGAATTGAACATACTTTTTCATGTGTTGCATATTCCATCAGATGGAAACAGATTTTTCTCCCTGAGGGGCTGTTTCACAGAAAAGTCTAACTTTGTGTCCTTACGCCCTCTACTGACTGTGCTGATTTACTTCTTTCACTTTCGCCTGTTATTTGAAACATACATTCAGGGGATATCTGATTGCAACTAATATAAATGAAAATAAAAAACATTAACAGCAAAGCATGTCAATTATGAACTCAGTAACAGTTTAGACTTTTTTTTTTTTTAAACAAATGACCCAAAAATCTAAACACCTTCTTTCATATCATATCAAAACTTTTAGGAATGTTAATTTATTGTTCTTTAAAAAAAAAAACTATCTATCAGTGATACGTTCATGATTCATTTTTTATTATGTCTGTTTGGTGTTTTATGTGTTTAGGTTTTATCATATCTATATATTTCTAAGTGTGTTCCTTATTCTTTTAAACCACATTTATTGTATTATTGAACCATATTTATGTATCTGTATATAGTTCTATTTATGTTTATATTAATCATTATAATCTCCTTAACTATAAAAGTGAAAACTAACACTTATTTGAGGGAACTTGAGAACCTTGACTGCTTAATTTATAAAATTTGAGGGCTTCTAATGTTGTTTAAGACTGATCTTTAAGACAGTATTACAAATTTGTTTTATGTATTTGTTTAATTTGTAATAATAAAATATTGTTAAAAAAATGGGTTTCTCTTTTCTTTTAATATTAGCAATAGTCACCTGATCAAAGCCACATACCCATAATCTCTACATCTGATTGGCATGTATAAATTAGGCTTAATGTGTTTCCCATAACATTATGAGTTCCTGCAATAAAAGTGACCATAATTTTCCTTTAACGTTGTCTTATTCATGTGGTAAAGTGTATTATTGATGTTTTTTTTAAGGAAGAATCCAAAGAGTATGTAATAACATCAGTGGCCACAAAATAATTTAAATGGCGCACATTCACGAGATAAATGCACCGATATAATCTAGTTAATGTTTAATTACATTGATTGCACTATAATACCTTGGCTGAGCTCTGCTCTTGTTTCATTCTCAGTACAGAGCCACTGCTGCTGCTGCAGTGGCTCCACAGCCGCACTTCTACCTACTTTACATACACACAGGACTCCACAGCAGCCACAGCAAACCTGCTCCCACACACCGAGGACCGGACAACCTGAGACAAAGAGACATGTCTTCTCCCGGTGCCGCCTCCTCATCCATTCCTGCGGGACCCCTGAAGCCTAAAAGGAAGACCAAGAAGAAACACTTTGTGCAGCAGAAGGTGAAGGTCTTCAGAGCCAGTGACCCGGTGCTGAGCGTCTTGATGTGGGGAGTCAATCACTCGGTATGGAAAACAAACACACTTAGGGTGGATCAGGGAAGTTTTTATTTGGAGCAGGGATTCTCATTAACATTTCACCCATTGAACATGCGCAGATTAATGACTTGAACCAAGTGCCTGTACCTGTCATGCTTCTCCCAGACGACTTCAAAGCCAGCACGAAGATCAAAGTGATCAACCACTGCTTCAACAAGTAATGTGCTCTATCTGCTCTCTCTTTGTGGGAATATTCACCCTGCAGACTGTAAAGATGAACACATTCCTGCAGCTCATTTATCAGAAAGGGCAGAACCTTCAGAGAATAGATGTTATTAACTACCAAATGTATATCTCATGTGGCAACAGTGACAGCATTGTGGTAAAGTTAAATTATGTTATATGTGTTGATATTTTTTTTTTAAGGGAACTCTTTTAATATGAAACTTTATGACTGTTAAATGAGGGAATTTTAGATAATTAAAGCAGTTTCTAAAAGTTGCTGTATGGAAAATGTCTCCACTAAAGATTAGTTTTCAAACCGTTTGTTGAAAAACGACTGGCCTTTTAATAATCTCTTAATCCATTCAGGAATCCAGGCCTTTCATATACCAGTAGCACAGATGGAGTGGAGAGAACCATATGTTTCTCAAGACTTTACTGCAGTGATGTCCAGTTATTTTTTTTTTTTATTTGACTTATTACAGCAACAATTAAAAAATGGCGAGAAAAGCATGACAACAGCATGATGCTGCCACCACCATGCCTATTAGTTGGTAATGCTCTATATATAGAAGGTTAACCAAGAAAAAAATATAGCCAAACCATTTTCCTCCAGCTTTTTTGGTTAATTGGGCTCATGGCAAACTTAAAACATAAGTTTCCTTTAACAATTTCAACTCAGACTACTTTTTGTGTTTCTGTGTTTCATGTCAGGATTTATAAAATGGATCAGCCTGAGTTGTGTGCTCTGGTTCTTATCTCCAGAGTCATCCCTCTGCTTTGTTCTGTTGCTGCTTACTTTTGTTCGTAGTTATTATTATGCAAACAGTTTCTGTTTACACCCTTTGTGCTCTTGTTTTCGTACAGTGCCTTGGAAAAGTATTCCACCCCCTTGAACTTTTTGACCTTTTGCCACATTTCAGGCGTCAAACATAAAGACATGAAATTTAATTATTTGTGAAGAATGGACAAGTGGGAAAAAATCCTGAAGTGGAACGAAATGTATTGCTTGGAGTATGTTCAGTACTATTCAGTCGAGAGACTAAAATTTTTGCATATTCTTCCTTGAAAAACAGCTGGAGCTCAGTGAGGTTGGATGGGGAGCGTGTGTAAACAGCAGTTTTCAATTCCCTCCAAAGATTCTTTATTAGATTTAGGTCTGGACTTCGACTTGACCATTCTAACATCTGAATATGTTTATTTGTGAATCATTTCATTGTGGATTTTGCTTTATATTTTGGATCATCGTCTTGTTGGAAGAGAAATCTTTGTCTCAGTCTCAGGTCTTTTGCAGATTCCAACCTGTTTTCCTCCAGAATGGTCCTGTATTTGGCTCCATCCATTTTCTAATCAATTTTTACCATCTTCCTTGTTCCTGCTGAAGAAAAGCAGACCCAAACCATGATGCTGCCACCACCATGTTTGACAGTAGGGATGGTGTGTTCAGGTTGAAGAGCTGTGTGGCTTTTAAACCAAACATAACGTTTTGCATTGTTGCCTAAAAGTTTTGGTCTCATCTAATCAGAGCACCTTCTTCCACATGTTTGCTGTGTCTCTCAGGAGGCTTGCAAACTTTAAACAAGACAGACTTTTTAAGGATTTCTCTGAGAAATGTCTTTCTTCCTTTATGGCCAGATTTGGGCAGTAAACGACTGTCTCTGTTCTATGGACAGTCTCCCACCTCAGCTGTAGATCTCTGCAGTTCATCCAGAGTGATAATGGGTCTCTTGACTGCATCTCTAATCAGTTTTCTCCTTGTTAGAGCTGAAGGTTTAAAGCAGTGGTTCTCAAACTTTTTCTGTCATTCCCCACTTTGGACAAGGGGGAATTTTCAAGCCCCGCCTGTCCCCATCGCCCCAACACAATGCTAATGAAATATGCAACAATCTTAAAATTTTCCAATTTTATTGAAGTAACAAGTAGTATCTAAATACAAACTATCTACATCAAATAACAGCAAGCTCAAAAATAAAGAAAATAAAAATGCAGCTGTGTCAAAATTTGTATCAAGCTCAAAGATAGAAAAAATTAAAGTGCCACTCTGCAATCTGTTAATAAAAGAAAAGAAGTGAAATCCATCTGGCAAGACAGGTCTATTTATCCCTGCATTAGTGGCTGCGATGAGCCTGTTTTGCATTGCACAGTTTCTCAAAACGGGGTTGCAGGCTTGATACTGCCACTCTCAAGTCATGCTCAATGTTCAGCTGAGATCTGTATTTTGTTTTCAGTGAAGCAACAGTTGAAAAGCCCATCTCACAGAGATATGATGTGGCAAAGGGAAGAAGAATGCACACAGCTCTCTGCCCGATGAGTGGAAACTCCCTCTCCACTCCAAACCAGAATTCACTATTAGTCTGAGCATTAAACCTGAGCCTCAGGGTGGAGTCAGACGTCATTTCAATAAACTGGTCCTATTTATTTAAGATAAAATATTTCAAATTCAGTTATTTATGATCAACCTGCGCCGTCAATCCCGGCGCATGTGCGCTTCATTTGCAGTCTGGACGCTGAGGGTAAACATGCTGTGTCTCTGACTGCAGCGCTGAGAGGGACTCCTGCGATAGCGGGGGAGAACGGGGTTGGGACGGAGGCGCCCCACGGCAGCACCTGCCGCTGGAGGACAAGAAAAGGAACGATACGTGCTTTCACGTAAGAGTCTCCAAAAGTCGCTAGATTTGTCGCTTTTTTTAAAAAGAGTCGCTGGAGGGGTCTAAAATATAGCAACAAAGTCGCTGAGTTGGCAACACTGGGGCGCGAAAGTTTATTCCGTTACAAATAATATGCCGACGTCACGTCAATCATTATTTTGGCACTTCAGTTCCAGGTGAAATTTTTCTCATATCTAATGTTCTTTTAATTAGACTGCATGTAGGCTAGTAATGATTACTTTGTGGGTTTGATTGGTCTAAAAAGCGGCAACATACAGCTATAAGGACAGTTTGCTCTCACACATTCTACATACACATTCTACATTTATAGTCACACACACACACACACAACGGAACTTGGCGCGCCCCACCTGTCACGTCTCAATTCCCCACCAGTGGGTCGCGCCACACACTTTGAGAACCGCGGGTTTAAAGGGACGGACTGGTCTTCATAGATTTGCAGTGGTCTGATATTCCTTCCATTACAGTATTATGGCTTACACAGTGCTCCTTGGGATGTTAAAAGCTTGGGAAATATTTTTGCAATCCAAATCAAGTTGGGAAACAGATCTTGATTTGTTTCACAACTAACGGAGTTAACTGATATATCAAACTCTTAGTAAGTTCGGTCAGGAGCAACACACAAACATCTCTACATCCACAAAGTCAAAAATCTTGTCTTTTTGCTGGTTTTTCCAAAAGAAATGGAGGGTATTGCAGCTAAAACCAGTGCAGCCTTTTTTTTTTTTTTTTTTTTTTAGTTCAGCCTTCTGCCTTGATTTCATACACCTCACTGCATTTCATTGGTCTGAAAAATGTCTGTATCAAGAACACTGCATGCGAGATATATTTTCATGTGCTTGTGAATTCATGAATCTCATGACAGTTCATCTTGCTTACAATGTACAGGAAAACCACCTTCTAACTAAAATTTCTTGGGTTTTATTGTAGAACTCTTTCAGCAAAGCCAGATTTGCAGAGTGATTGTGCTATCCACAGTTTCCTCCACCTGAGCTATGGATCTCTGCTGCTCATCCAGTGTTATTGAGCACCCACAAACAGACTGTCTGCATAATGCTCTCTTTTTTCATGCCTATAAGTTTAGATGGACGCCTGCCATCTTGGTTTCTTTGCAGTTGTGCCGTACTCTTTCCATTTCTAATTGATGGATTGTACAGGGCAACACAAGCTGCTTCTAGTGCTACCTTTTGAAGCAGATTGACCAAAACCATGTAGGCTTTGAGTAATCCCTTAATCCATACTGGAATGCAGCTCTGGTAAAGACTTCAATATCAGAGGTGGGATGAGGAAAAGCCTTTTGTTTTGCTTGTGCTGAAACACTTTAACTCTTAACTCAAACATTTTTGACAGTAGAATCTATAGTCAAAAAATAGTATCTACAGTATAGATAATATTGAACA